TGAAGTGGCTCATTTAAAGTACGATAAGGCTGAAAAGAATATGGACCTTTCACGGGCAGACCTGGAAAGAGCCAAAAATAACGCGATGCAAAGGACACAAATATGTGAAGATGCGAAACAAAATTATGCACACGCATTGCAGGCTGCCAATCAACAGCAGCATCAACACTACAGTCAACTGTTACCACAGATACTGGAGGTTTATAATCGTTTTTAATATCTCCAATGTTTTTTCATTTTTATTGTAGCTATTTTACAATTAAGCTTGTTTTTCTACTCATGCATCAAGCACTTTTAACCTTTTCTTTCCAAAGAAGGTGAGAAATCAAGGTTGTTTTAAATTAATCCTCACCATCGATGCACTATTGTCTTTTTAATTATTTAAATATAAAAGAAGTTTCAATTAAGAAACATTCTTGTTAAAAATCTGTTTTATCTTGATTTTTTTTTGCGAGAATTTGTATTTCGATATAAGATAAATGCATGCGATAGATGATTGTATGGAAATTACAGCGTTTGAGAACAGTCGATGAGGAGCGAATAAGCGAAACTAAATCATTGATGTTGCAAAGTATCGAAGCGGAGACTAGGGTGATGAATATAATCCAACGATGCTACGATGATATGAAAAAAGCTGCTCAGTTAATATCGCCTTTGAACGATAGTGCTAGTGTTGTTGAGCATTACAGGTTTATTTTTCTTGAATTTTATATTGGTTGAACAATTATGTATTTAAAGGAAGATATGAAGTTGTGAAAATTTATATCATTATTATTTAATATTACATAAGTCAGGTGGCATTGTTAATGTGTATTTATTCAGTCACTTAGTTTTAGCCTCTTCTGATCTGTCATTAAAATTTGCTGTCATTTGTTATTTAAAAATGACTCGTTGTAAGAGATACCGTTTGTTTAAATCGTGTTGTTTGTTGCAGATCGGGCTATGCACATCCTCAGCCGTTCACCTTCGAAGATTTCGGATCTCCGTCAGCAATTATTACCAGTGAAGGTACAAGTAGTGTGGAGACAATGAAACGGCCAACAAAAAATGGTTCGATGGTACGAATCAATCGAAAACCTAGTATGGGACTTTTTCGAGGCAATAATCATTCAAGAAAGGTTGTTTTAATTCTATTTTAGTATTCGACACGACTGTTTAAATTAATGATTAATTGCCTTTAGAGTATAAATTGGGTAGATTATAAAAGTAATATTTAGGTGAGATTGATCCATATCGAGTGGCCTGACGAATAATTCGCTAGATTCAGGAAGAGAGCTTATTAGATGATCTCTTTCAAAGATATGAAAGCATAGCCAGTCGTCAATGAAGTTTTCATAGCGGAAGCACACACTAAATTTGCAATAAATCCACAATACTAGTTTTGCTAATAAAGACGGTCGTATAGGCAACAAAATCAGGTTTTCACTATAACATAATGTTGTCATCTTGCAACATTTGTTTTAGACATTGTTTTCATCAGTAAGTGGATTTCAATTTAGGATGGTACCATTGACTTTCGTTCTTATCCACCACAGCAAAGGTGTCGAAGACTGCAACATGAAATTGAAAATATTGAAAAAGAAATCGCGAAAAATCAACAGAGTCGTGAAGGTGCTGCGAAAATGTTGCAAGTTTATAAGTAAGTGATTAATGGACTATTTGGTTATAATTTATTGCTTATTAAATTTAAGTTAAAAAAGTACTTTATCAAGCGTACGTGGTGATCAAAATTACCTATTGATCATTGGTTTTATCTTCCATCTTTATTGTCTTTTTTTTTCCCCCCCCCCACTTTTTCAACTTAAATATGTGGCTGATTTACAGAGACAATCCAAAATTAGGTAATGCAAGTGATGTGGATTCAGAAATTGTAGTTTATACGAAGAAATGTGAAGTTCTAAACCAACAACTAGCAAAGTATAAAGTATGTTCCCCTTTTATATTTCTTTTTTTCATTTGTCAGAATTTTTTAATCCGATTTGCTTTTTAGCTTCGTATAACACAGTTCAGTTCCATTTTATACAGAATTTATTGAACCTATTTTTTGCTCATGTTAATGTCCAGTACAGAGGAGTAAAATCTCGTACTTGTAAGGAATATGTGTAATTGGTGCGTTCGTTTCAGGCAATGTTGTCAGAAGCGCAAACCGAACTGAATATACCGATATCAGTTATCGGGTACGTTCATAGTCCACTCGTAATGTTAGCTATCGTTCACGATTCTAGAAAGACCATTAAACGATCCTTTTCTTAACATGATATTTCATCAACTAAACATTCACTGAGAACCATGATATAGTTTAAAATGTTGAACATTATTTTATGATTTTCGCAGCACATTCTAGGTCACTAGAAAGTTCTTTGTTTTGCCAACAGAAGAAAGTAAAGTGTGAGAGGACTCGGAAATATATATATATATCAGTAATTGCCTTTAATCATCTTTAAGGTTCCTTATTCGTTATTTACAGATCAGAACCTCCAACGAGACCACCTCCTCCGTGTCAGTCAGGATTGAGTACGCCTTCACAGTCCTCTCCACGTCAAATAGCAACCCCAAATACTGCAGTTAATATTCATCGTTCATCTTATTCAGAAGAGTCGATTTCGTCTGATGGTTCAATTCCTATCACTGGTCATCAGAAAGCAACTTCACCTGAACCCACAAAAAGTTTGCTTCATTTCACTTTGTTTTTCAAACCTAATGAAGGCAGTACAGTTCAGTTCTTAATTGTTATACTAGTGCCCTGGACTTTATAACTAATATTTCCTAGCTTGAACAAATTTCTTAATCTTTTAATCCTGTGATTGGGAATTGATTAGTTGGTCAATAATTGTTTTTTTTTTTTTTCTTTATTGGGCGCATCACAGTAAATGAAGGAGGGAATGAAATGTAAGTTTTTAAAATGCGCTTTAGTCCAAGAATATTGTACTCATTTCTCCGATCACATCATGCGGTGAAAGGGTGGAATGATGATATTGGAATAAGACAAGTTTGAGTAATAATTGTGTTAGTTTAAATTTCGATGATTAATTGGTAATTTAGAAGCAACAATAGTGGAAAAATCAGAAGTGTACGAAGAATGCGACATGCCGGCGTTAGGCACTTGCACTGCATTATATGCATTTGAAGGTGGCAGTGAGGGAACAATGGCCATGGAAGAAGGCGATGAAATGATATTGTTAGAACGAGATGAAGGTGATGGTTGGACTCGAGTTAGGCACGTTTCGTCGGCGCGTGAGGGTTTCGTCCCTACATCTTACTTGCACTGTAGGTGGTATCCTGATTAGAAACCTCATTAAGGTGGGATAGCACTGTTATTTTTTTGTTCGATGTGGAATTGAACGACCTTAGATCATTTATTATTTCGAAATAAATAAATGAATTGTAGGTCGGTTTTGCTGTTTTTCTTGGTATAATAAAATAAGGGGTTTTTTTTTTTTTGTCTTAATTTGATGTTGTCTTAGGTTGGTGCTGTTAACTGAATAACACTGACTTTTCTGTATTTACCTCTTTGAGCATAGTTCAAAGTGTGTTATATACCAAACCATCCCGGTACTTCTAGATCAGGTTGGTACGAACAGATCATTGAGTTACGATAGTATTTCTTGAAATGACCATGTTTACCTAGTAACGTTCTAAGACAAAGCTCCAAGTTGTTAACATTGCTTGTTCAGTTGGCTTAAATGTTTATCATGTGCATATTTTTTTATTTCATAAATTGAAATGCTCAATATTTGAATTTTTGGATTTGACATATTTGGTCCTTAATAGCATTTTATGCGCGTTATCATTAAGCAGGAAGGATCTTATTTTATACTATAAATTTCGCTGTTTTATCTGGTTCGGTTTACATGTTTGTCTCGAAACCATATACTGTTGTTAGTCTGCAAGTGGAGTTCGGGTCATTCCACGTCTAATTATTGCATAAATTGATGAAATTGTTGAGGTATCGCTTCCTCTATAAGCGCTTTTTTATAGTTTTATGACCGTGAATGTGTTTTCCTTTTTGGCTCAATCATTATTAATAATTCCGCTACAAACTACTACTGTTGATAGTTGCTACTCCTGTGCTTATTTTAAACCATTTGCTTTTTGCTGCCCAGTTTAGTCCAACTGAAAATGTTGTTGTTCACAGGTATGTGTCAACAGACTTCCCCTCTCTTCCATTACATCCATAATGTTTAGTTGTTGCTTTCATCTGCCTTCAAAAAGTTCTTTATATTTTTTTGTGAATATTGAAATCCCCAAAAAGTAATCAGACGGGTTAAGGAAAAGATCCAAATAAGCATGGAAATTATCCTTCTATTAGCATATTCCAATCAGGTAGATCATTCTTTTACAACTAAGGCAAAGTTCTTCGGTAAAATGATCTAACAAATTGGAGTTTAAAAATTTTTTTAAGATTTCCGAACTTCTAAGAGGTTTCACTGTTCCCTGAACATACACCATTAATTACACTGAACAAACTAAGACACTACATCCATGGTATCATATCTGGCGCCGGTATGGATCCTCCAATTTAGCATACAATTTCGAGTTTCCTATTAGAAGTGTTTCAAAGGTTCTTTTGTATTTGATTTATAGAGCGACATCACCTCCCCACACACTAACTTTGTAAATGATGCTTCCAAATCTAGTTTTCTGATCTTTCACTTTGTATTTTTCTTTTTATTGCAATACTTCCTGCCTCCGCGTTACCCAAATTCCCCAATGTTTTCTGCCTGAACTTTTTTATTTAGCAATCACTGCATTTTCTATGAATGTGAGGGTTAATGGGCTTGTAAGAGATTAAAACTGAGTGGGGTCTCAAAAAAATACATTCTGCTCAACCACAGGTTGATCCAACACGCAAGTAAAGAGCAGCATCTCCCACAGATATTCTAGCCACTCGATCGAAATACTCAATAACTGTTGCTGATTTATTTTTGCAACTTCGTAATGTGAATAAACTATTAACAGTGATCACAGAAAAGAAAAGTGAGTGAGTGTGGTAAAGAAATTCAAATCTCCGCTTCTAATGCAACTCGCTCAAAGGCTTTCTCACGAGCAATGTAGTCAAGAGTCCACTGATGATTTGGGAAGCCTTCCTTTAACTGATTGATATAGCGGTTCGTAACCTGAAATACAACTTCGTTTATCCATAACAGGTCTCCGGAATGGAACCTTATTTCAACAGGACTGCTTACTTCTGGTGCTTTTCCGAGATACTGGCTGACAACAACCAAATTTATGACTGCCTCTGCATTGTTAGCATCTCTTTGTAGTGCCTCCTGGAATAATTTCTTTACATGTATTCCAATATTCCTTAGCAAAAGTCCTTTCAGTAGGAGCTAATAAGTCGTCTAAAAAGTTACCGATGCAGAAAGTGTGAAAAGTTCAGGCATACTCCATTTATGTATGACTAAGCATGATTTATTACTGCAGCTCTGCTACAGGAAGAAATTTTAGGAAATCAAATTTAAACTAACTAGAAGTAATTTTTCCGCCTCCTCATATTTTTGTTGTTGAATCAGGCTCGATGACTGAGCAACTAGTAAAAGTGGTGTTGCGCCATATTTATCTATCATCTCTTGATAAGTATAAAATACATCTTTCAATTTGTCTTTCCCCTGGAAAGTATATTTTAGATGTTTGATGAACAGTAAAACATAATTTTCAGAATATCGCACTTATCCATTTCATCTGTCCTATCGAAAAGCCGTCTAATGCAGATTCCAATTTTTTTTCACATTAACTTTTATATGCAATATGATTAGTTTGCTTAAATAGCTGAACTCCATTAGGATTTTTACAATTTAACAGAAACTAACAAGCGCGATATTGACCCAAGCAAGCGCAAGCTGAGTTATAGTAGCATCTTCATCTATTTCTTGCATCCTTTTAATTTCTTTCGCAGCCAGATCTATTCGATCAATCTTTAGTAAACACTGCACAGCCAACGCTTTACTTTCTAAAGAATCGCACTGACAGAGCAAGCGTAATGCTTCTTCCACATTCTGAAGCTAGAAAAAACTTACGTTAAGAAATCAAATGCACAGAATAAATGATATTGTTAATTTTAAAACTTATACGGTCAGAATCCCTTGGCTGAAAATCCCAATTGTGTTTTTGAATATGAATGAAAAAAACTTTCCTGTTCAATTACATCATACTTCAAAGTTCCGGAATCGTCACGAGTTACCACCATAGCAAACGAGCAAAAAATAGGAAAACTAACGGTACTCTTATAAGTAAAGACAAGGAAACATTAAAAAGGAAAAAAAAAAAAAACATACTCGTTCATGAATATACATGTGAGCCGCTAATAATAAAACAGTTTCGTTGTGAGGAATCTCTTCGTTCAGCTCTGTTTCAAATTCTTTCATTATTACTGCTCTAAAAGATGCACGAATAATAAAATGAGAAATAAAAGCATAGGAATTCCTTTCTGACTTTAGAAGGCGTATATTAAGATTCTCACACTTATTAAAATATTACAGTGACTTTAGCGATCTTTAGTAAATCATAAATCTTCCAATTATAATAGATTCCGTAAAATTCGAGAGTGTATAATTGACTGGGTTCTCAAAGATCCAAAGAATACTATTTAAAGAAGGTTAAAAAGTTATGCTCATCATTCCTTCCTAACTGTAAAATACTACAATAAGTGCATATACATATTAAACGTTGAGAAAAGTTCATGGATCTTCAACGAAAACGAAATCGATTCCAGTTTACCAATAACCACCACCAGGAACGAAATTATAACTTTTACATCCTCTTTCGTTAAAAAAAAACTGTCAATTATTCTTCATCCAAATATTTTACATTATATTTTAAACACTCTTTCTTCCTTCGGAAATTATTCATCTTTTATTTACCTTTTATCTGGGTTGGCCAAATAATCCGCAAAACGTCGTACTGCTCTTAGAGAAGGTGAAGTTGAACTTTTTTCAATTTCACTCAGCACTAAATTTGGTTTATTTTGTGCAAGATATGCTCTATACATATAGACATCCTTCAGCAGCTTATCATTTTCCTCTTTCACTTGTAAATTCTGCAAATAGGACTAAAAAAAAGGGAAGCAATTGTCAGTATGTGCTGAATAAGACACAACTCTTAATTACTGAAATAAAATTCTCACCATAAATATGCTGAAATTTATTCCACAGTTGTTATGAACTGTAAAACGTATATATACTCACATTTATAAAAACTGCAAAAGCTCACTTGTGCCTCATTAATACAATTTTGGTATGCTCCAAGGTAGAAATTATTACGTACTTCGAATAAATGATCCACATCATCATTAGCTTTAGTCATCGTTTGATACTGTAAACAATGACTAATTTATATTTTGTGAACTATTTAATTGAACCTATATTATAATTTCAACAGCTGATGCACTTCTGAACCTAACATACACAGCTCAATCATGCAGAAACCAGACAATGTCCTCAAAACCAAGCGTGACAAACTGCTCATAACCCGTTGCATACGACCACATCCGTAATATACAATTATGCAAATTTGAGGATCACGATTGTTTATGCTTTCAAAGTTCCGATATTACACATTCAAATTCAAATTTATTATTTTGTTCATGATTTAACGTTTTTTACATTTTAGTTAAGTATGACTTATTGAATTAATCAATAAATTCTTGTTTTTTATTGTCTTTACTTACTTTTTTGTAGCTAAGTTATCTTGAAATTCAACATATGAAAAAAATTTTTTTTAAATTAAGAATTTTGTATCCACTGAAAAATTTCAACTTTTATAATTGGCAACAAATGCATTTTTTTTGCCTCATTTTTTGATTTAAATTAAAGATTCCACATAACAATTATTTCAAATTTTACATTTAAGTTTTTAATTTTATTCATATAGCATATGAAATTTTTTACTTAATTGAATTTTTTTCTTATATGATTTGTATTTTTCTTTTTAATTTCTGTAATTTGCATATAAATTAAAATAGTACAAATAGTGACTGATAATACATTAAATTTCATTTGTATTCATTAACTTACGGTATGACACATTCCACTGGAATCATTGACTTACTTTCTAGCTGTCAAATTAAAGTTAATTACAAAATATTCCAATTTAATATCAATTGCAAAAATCTTTTTTCCTTCTTTTTTTTAAAAAAAAATTCAGATCATTTAAAAATAGGGCAAAATTTTAAATGAAGATCAAATCATTATTAACAAAAAAAAGTAACAAAAATTTTTTTCGTTCAAAAATAGATGAGTGTGAATGAAGAATATAAAATGATAGGTATTAATTAAAGAAATTATTATTATTGTTTATGTTTTCCTTTTTTTTTAATTTATTGAATCCATTGCAATATTATGTTATAGAAATTTTGATGGAATAAAGTTGTAAACTAAAGTGTGAGAGAAAAATTGAACGAGGAATATGTTAAAGAAACAAAGAAATTTACAAGTACATTTAAATTATTATATCATTTTTATTAATTTTGGTTTAAAATATAATTAAAAGAAAAAATTATTTGTTTGTTTACCTTTATTTCTATCTAAATGAAATTGAACTGTATTTAATTTTGTTTCTTTTTTCTTGTTATCTCTTCAAAAATTTATCATCCATTTGAAATTTCCACTGAAGTTTTATTATTCAAAGCACATATGGAGTTTCGTCCATTCTCATTTTTTTGCACAATTATGAAAGTAATTAGTAATTTAATCAATTATATTTCAGTTAAAATTTTCTCTTTTTTCTCAATTTTGTTTTTTAAATAATGCAAATACATTTTATGGTTTAATTTTAAGGGAACTACAGAACATAAATATATATATAACTTATAATTAATTATTTAATAAATTAATTTCCAGAAAGGAAAAATTACTAGGCCCAAATATCGAGCTAAGATTTGAATATTTAATTAGGAAAATGGTCCTATTAGTTTATATCATATTAGATCATTCCAATGACATATTTCATTAAATGCAATTTAACTTCATATCATGTGAGTTTTTACAGAAGAGAAAACTTAATCATTTGAAATGTGACAAAAGTAAATTCATTATTATTATTATTAGAAATTTTTGATTGAAGGAAGATTGTTGATGAAATAAAGTTTTACTTAAAACAAACATATCAGATGGATAATTTCTAGTGATCACATTTTTTAAAGGATATTTTACAATTGAAACAATTAAAAAATGACGAAGAAAATGCAAATGAGAATGATAATGATAAAGGTAAGAGTAACTATAAGGAGAGATTGGATTCAGTTAAAATAGATGAAGAAAATGTTACGCAGCCAAGTGTTATCTCTATGGAAAAAGTTCGTTTATCTTTTTATTCCTTAATTTCAACTTACAGAGAATGATTTGCTATTTGATAATACATTTAGGAATGATAATAACCTTATCAATTTTATCATATAATTTATTCGTTTAAAATTATTTGAGGTTCGATTTAGTGGAATATTTGTCAAGAATATATTTTATTAATTTGAAATTTACTTATTTACTTTCAATTGTTAACTAGCATTAATTAAAATGAATAATTTTAGATGGAAGAAAATGAATCCAACAGAAAAGTAGACGAAAAAGTGAAATCAAATGAAACAGTGAATAATTTGCAGTTGCAAACATTTGAAAATACTACTGTAACAGAAGGAGAAAAATTGAAGGAAATTTTATCAACGCAAAATTCACAAAATGAGAATTTGTTAAGAATTGAACCGGAAAAAACATTGCTACAAATGTCAAATATAGTGCAAAAAGATGATAGCCAAATATTAGCATCGTCATCGTCAAGTCATGCTTCATCACCAGTTCAAACATCACCAAAAATAGCAACAACAGCAACAGCGACAACAACAACAACAACAACAACAACAACAACAGCAACAACTATAACAACAATAACAAAAACAACAAAAACAAAACCTTTAATAAAATCTCCCAAAATAGGATCTCCGGCAACAAAATCTCCCATTATAACAATGAAAACTTCGCCAACAAAGTCTGCAATAGCGAGAAAAGGTGAAAGTGTATCAAAGATTAGCATGAAATCAGCTAAAGTTATTACTGGTGCCATAACTACTATTCCGTCGACATTTACTGGTGATGATGAAGATGATTACTTTCATGGGTTCGTGTTTTTTTTTCCTTTTTTTTTTTATTTTTCACTTCTCATTTGATATTTTAAAAAATCTTAGATAGAAAAAGAAAATTAGTATTTATGAACCATTATGTGTCATTATGTGTTACCTAATTACAAGTATAGTCTTCCACACCTACGCTACCAAGTCTTTTTTTTTTGTTACAGCTTACTTTTGTGTTTCATTTAAAGTAAATTTAAAGTATTAGATTTCTGCCACGTGAAGATGCGAATATGCTTTGCATACTTGATGGTGATTTTTTGCTACGAACTACCGAAGTTTTTTCTGGTGAGGATCGAAAGGTAAATGAAATGTTTCATAATTATAACATTAACATTATGAAAATATTTCATTTCCCTAGAACTTATGCTAAAATTGAAAAGATGAAATTCCTTGGTTACTTTATAAACGTGAAATGAATTAATTGTAATATATTTAATTGTAATATATTTTAATTGTCAAATGAGTTTTGGATTAAGTTTATCGAATGATGTAAATTAGAGATAGGAATAAAAGTGGGTGAGGTTATCCCAGTTAATTAAGCATGTGACAGTATTTAGCAGTAATCTCTAGAAGAAAAAAAGTTTTACTAAGAAGAATGTCTAACAAGTTTTGTATTTGTTCTCTTAGGAATGACTTAAATTTGAATTCTAATAACTACTTATTTAATTTAAATTCTATCATTTTTCTTCATCTTCTCAATCCATCCATTCCTAATGCTTAAATAATTTTTATGAATTTGTTTTTCTTTTTTTATCTTTTATCCAATCATCTTTATAGATCATATAGTAAAAAAAAAAAAAAAGAAAGAACATATAGTAAAAGTTGGTCACAATCCATTTATCTCAAGTAATGATCTGAAAGACATGAAGATATTTGAATAACTTAATCAAATTACATTGTATTAATCACATCATATTATATTTTGATTAATTACTTTGTACTATTATGGAATATATTACGTTAACACGGTATTTATCACATTATCGGAAATCTATCCAATTTTCTATCCATTTCTGATGCCTAACATAAATAATTTTCAAAGTTTTTTAAAAGTCATTAAATTATCATAAAGTAATCAATCAAAAGCCTCAAGTACAAAGAGAAACAGTTATCAGATTAATGTGGGGAAATATTTCGTGAATTATACAATCGTTTCAGTTGCAAATGTTCTTGTTTCTGATCAATTAATCCTACTTTTCTTCTTTTTTTTCTATTTTTTTTCCATTTATATATCTCTTTAAAGATCTTCGTTTTTTTTTTTCCTTTTTTTCTTAGCATAAAATTATATTATGCCATCAATTAAAGCTATCATTTATTTAAGCTATGTTTATCAGTTGCATGGCACGGCAAGCATCATATCATTTTGCATTACGACAAATTGAAAAATCAATATGGAATAAAACCTAGTCGTACATTTCCCACAATTACCGATTTGGTTAATTATTATGCTCAACATAGATTTAAAATACTAAAAGAACGTGTATTACTAAAAAATCCAATTGTCACGCAAGTATATATTTTAATTAATTATTGTCATCACGGATACTATTTTAATTCTTTGTTGTAGGGAATTTCATTTTTATTTTATTCATCTATTCATTGTATTGATAATTAACATTTTATTCTCATTAAGAAGATATTATTATATGATAACAAATTCACTTATTATATACTTACTTCCAATAGTAAGATATATGATAGTGTTTTCTTAGCATAATAAAACATTAATTTCTTGCCATCATCATATTCATTTTACATTTTTAGTAATTAAAAAAAAAAAATTATCGCACACTAATATAATTCTTCATATATGTGTAAATTTTATACCTTAAGCGTAAGAAATATTTTTTTTTTTTGTTCTTTTTTATTTAGTCATGGGAATTGAAACATCAACAATTGCAACTTCTTCAAAAACTTGGCGAAGGCGCATTTGGTGAAGTACATTCAGCTAATCTTGCACTTACTCCTCGATTTCATGTTAAAGCTGCTGTTAAAGTTGTAAGCAATAAAATGAATGCTTTTTTACATAAATTTAAGTTTTCTTTTTTTCTTTAAAGTTTGAATTACGTAATAATTTAAATAATATCTTAAATAAATGCAAAATTAATCAATACTTGTCGAGAAATTTCCGTTTTTTTCCTCACCTATATAATTAAGCTTATCTTTTTCTTATTTTATCAAA